CACTTACACAGTTCATCACTGCAGCCAGTACTCAACTATGTCTTCCAGAACAAGCTACTAAACTCACTACATTAATACTCCATAAGAGTACTGAGGGTTAGGCCCATGTTCTGATGTTCTTATGAACCTATTTTGTTGAAGGGTTATTTTACCTAACCATATAGGGTTGAAAGGCTACCCTTCCAACCAGAGTTTTGGTTCATGATGTTCATGCTTTAAACCACATACAGATTATCTATTCAAAATGCAACCCTGACCACTAACCACAAACCCCTTCATGCACAAAAACATTGAATTTTTGCAGTCATATCCTGTTGTAGCAACTGATGCACTACTTGAAATTGGTACATCCAATATCTCAGCTGTTTTGTCACTCAAGGATCACCTGTCACATGTAAACACTTCCCGTATCCTGAAACTTTATTACCAATCAGTGTGTTTTTATTTGGTACTTCCTTGTCAGAACATGCATTGTGAAATGCTTCACGAACGGTAACAAAACAATTTCAACGTAAAATGATATTTGAAAATGAACATATGTTCTTTGCACTTCCACAGCTTTTGTGTAGCAAGCGTGGGCAGTAGCCTAGTAGCAACCACGATGACAAGACTAGACAAACACACAAAGAAACAAAGATACTACAAACAATAAATGAAAAAGAAAAACTCCTACCTTGCATTTTCAAATGTAGCTGCTGGAGAATTTCCAATAGCACCGAATCCAACACCTACTGCAAGACCCTCTGAAATAAAACGGGTATCAAAGAAAATCTGTTGTGGGATGTAAGGGGCAGGATGTATTGCTTAAAACATCTGAACCTCACCTTTACGTTTAAGTAATGCCAGAATTGGTTTAAATATTACCATAACCTAAATTAGATGCATTCTTAGAATGGGAATGTTTGCAAATCATGAAGTAGAGTAAAATAAAAAAAGATCAGAAAGATATGTTGAGAGAAAATATATAAGAACTTCCTTCAGTCAAAAGAGCCAATGACCTGGCTGAAAATGTAACCAAGTATGTCCCAAATAGAAGCTGCCAATTTATTTGGGTTCCATGATGTTTGAACAGATCCATCAACCAAACCAAGAAAGAGTAAACATAAAACCTCCCAAACCAGAATCAACCCCCAATAAAATTGAGGAATGTGATGAAGATGAAGAAGGAATAGAAGATCCTTTGTAATGGGGCTTTTCTGTCAAAGTTTAACCAGTACACTCACCTGGTATATTATGTACAGTAATGGCAACAATTAATAAAATTATCCTCTTCCACTGACTGCTCTTATGATGATCTGTAGTAATTTCGTGATCATTTACTGGATCGTGACGTTCTTGACGCGTAGATTTCGTCACTGTTCTTCTTCTTGACAGAGGATTTGAAGTTACTAGCCCTTCCCCAAACCCTGTAAAATAAATTTAAAACTGCAATGTAATAAAACAAAATTATTTTTATTAAATATATCAAGACCTATATAAATATTGCACCAGCAATAACTACGCCTTACATTACTGTGTCCAGCCGAGTCCCAGCCCCACCCCACCCTTCCCCAAATTAACTTCCAAAAATGAATACTGTGCATTAATATAGATAGAAATTCTACATTTATAATTTAAGATTTCATTTCCATTTTAAAGGAGAAAAATATAATACTGCAATGTACATTGTCATCGTTCTATAAATTAGACAAAATATATATAAAAAGTATACAATAGAATTGTATTTTCCATTCTTTCAGTTTAACAAATACAGAAATAACTTCGTTCAGGTCAATGTTTTGTACAATTTTATGTTCTTTACCATGGTGCATAGACCCACCAACTGCTTCCAATTCTTTGTAACAGAAACATTCCTTTTTAATAGCAAATAACAGTGTTACCTACAAATTAATATTTGTAGGTGTGTAGATGCATCCTATTAACAATAACCACAGCAGTGGCAGCAAAATACAACCAATCAGCACAAGATCTGTTGTGCAACTGACAATGATAACTATATATGCCCATTTATGAGGCATTCTGTCAGGAAATGTTCTGACTGGTTACACTGTCAACTTCACTACACATGTCAAGCATTTGTATATGATAATAACAATGTTTGAAGCATATTACAAAGCCACAAACACATATTTATTAATTAATTGTGTCTTTTCCTTTCTATTCTTACATGTTCATGTTATTCTATTTTAAGTTATTTCTCTTTTTTTTTGATTAACCCCCCCACAATACTGCCCTCCTAAGTGATTGTATAGTTTGCTTAGTGCTTAAACTGGCAGTAGCAGTGTGTGTGTCTCAAGATATACATTTCTGGAAATAATTTATTAACTGCCCTGATGTCATGGTTTTGTGTTGCATTGTAGTGATGAGACATAAACATACATTCAGTTTTCTCAGTATTCATTTCTAGATCAGCCTCCTTATTAATGTCTAAGAGTTCCTGTTATTATCTTCCCAATGTAATGGATTATTCATACAAGTTCCACATTAACAGAACTTACAGAAAACATGTTTTTGAAAGCTGGAAACAATATAACACATCAGCAGGTATTTGCCAAATCAATAATTCCTTACACTATAAAACAGAACTGTCACAACAAAAACCAAACAATTTAACTCCATCTATTCCAGCCCAAGTCACATGATCTCTATTTACTTAATATCCACTTTTACATACTTCTTTCAGGTACACAACCTGGCCTACTAAATGGGCTCTTTCCATGAGGTTTACCTCCAAAATTTGTTGGCTTACAATTTGTATGCAATAGCAATTTCATTAATATTTTACCATGTATATCACATATCAGATTGTACCACAAATATATGTGTAAATCAACAGTATTTGAATTGGCTTTCTTCTATTTTATTAGAACAGTAATTGAAATAAATTAAAATTACCCTCCAAACAGACAAACCAGTTTAAATAATTTACAGATGGCAGGACCATGCACATGGTATACATGCTGCCACCTATTAAACATACTAGATAGGAACTCCATTTTTAGAACGGTTATCAAAAATGTGAATACAAATGTGGAAGGGCTTTCTTCCAATGTCTATAGTTGCTCAGCTAGTTAAAAACTTCAGAACCAACCTTCAAATGATTAAGATGCAAGACTGGGCCAGCTTCATGACACATGGAGTGACTGACATATGCACTTTCATAATGAATGTGGAGTAATTATATGGAGAAGAGACCTTGAAAAGTTGGTAATCATTTAGCTGTAAAAAAATTCCCCACCTTTATGAAACCCTAATGCTCATTACCATGCACTTCTCATCTCTCTCATGCATGCTACATGCATTACAGTTCATCCGAATTCACTCGATTTTCCTTGAGTACATATAACGAAGCTCTTCATTATGCAGTTTTTAATGATTTATTTTTATTATGGTAATATTATTTTTATGCAATTACCAGAAGGCCACTGAATGATTTCTTGCCAAATTTCATTGTTTAAACACCTGTGACACAAAAGTGAAAGTTATAAGAGGGGTATATATCTTCAACAACAACCTTAATAAAATATTCTCATCAACATTTTTTACACAACTAATATAAGTTACATGCATTTTAAAATAGCCTTAATAATGGAATATTGCATGTCATAATGTATTTGAACTTACCTTCAATTGTTGTTTCTGTGGTTTGAATAAAATTTGTATCATAAAACATAGCATTGCTCTCTCTCTTTTCCTTATGAGACATATTACCAGATGATAATGCTGTAAAAAGAAAAAGCAGAATTTTAATTCATGTCAGATCTATAAGAAGATGTATACAATTCTGTGCTTTCAAGTGGATAAATCACCTAAAACTTGATTTGGTGAATGCACACCAAGGAATGAGATGAAGAAATCAGTTCCATAAACAAAAAGCGCTCCAATTAGAAATCCCAAAGCAACAGGAACAAAAGCATATTCCCCATTTTGTCCATAAAGTTTAGAATCTTCAGCCATTTCTATTGCAGGTGCTAGAAGTGACCAATATGATGCAGCTGTCATCACTCCTCCAGCAAAGCCAAGACTTGTATCAAGGAGTTTACGCTGAAATGAAAATCAGATAATGTTAATATTTTCTTTATGCCACCCAGTATCATACTTAGTGTCTGATATTGAAACTGAAGTAGGCATTGATGGAACCAGATTATTTGCAATTTCTTAGCATGAGGTAAAGAGTAAGGTGATACACACCACATACACCCCTAAACATTTTTTCTATTCTTGTCAAATCATTGCCTTGTAGGTGGCTACCTTCCAGGCCAATGTTGTGCAATATAGCCTAGAAAATGTTACTGGCATTTTAAAGGTGCTTGTTGTCTCCAACATCAGGGAACTCATTGCCCTAATGTAGGACAACAGAAAAAAGGGTTAATTTTTGAAACAGCTATCATGCTACCTGCTAATTTTGTGCACTGATCATGCTGTGCAAAGTGCACCAACCTACATCATTACAGAACTCAGCTAGCAAGCAATCTGGTCCAAGCAGTATAACATAGCTTGTGACATTTGAGATTTTCAAGGCTGCAAAACATTTGAATTGTGGTCCTCTGGGTTATTATGCCATGTATTCTTGAGGGTTGTCACTAAGTTTTTGTAACCACCTACAAGACTACCTGGTATTCTATCTGGAAAACTATAATCCAAATATAGCAAAGCTCATCTAGTACAAATGTTGATAAATTATGGATAAACATGTTGTATACTTTTGCAAGCTGAATTTGGTTCCAAATTCAAGATGAATTTCTGTAAAGTTTTCAGATGTAAAAAAGAAATTATATTATTTTCTCCTAGCATGTCGTCATTTAATTGCCCATGTGGAAATTCCGAAGACCAATTCTCTGGCCCTCTTAAATCCATTTTACCACAAATGGTTTGCACATTGAATGTACGGTTACCGACAATGACATGACTGATAAGCCAGGAAAAAGTACATAATGTGCAGATATGGCAGATAACAATTCTTACCTGCGTCCCATTGAATATTACAACCATACTAGCTCCTGCGGCTGTTAGTCCCCATGTAAAAAGTGTTCCCATAAGAGCTTGAGTTATAGCACCATAGTTTTGTAACATTTTGGATACAAAATGTTCTTTTTTTGAGTGTCATTCGAATTTGAATCTAAAAAACCTATCTCGTTACACCTACTCCCGGTGTATCCTAGGAGATGGATAATTTGGAGTGATTTGGAACTTTCCATTTTTTTAGCTGAGAGTCTAGAAGGGAGCTAAGTAAAACGAACCTTCATAGTCTGAGAAAAAAATGGATAAAAGAAAAATTAATAAGAAACTGAATGTGGCAACCAAGACGTAATAAGAACGAGTTAGGGGAAAATATTCACGGATCAGAGAGTTTAGATCATATATAGTAATCGTGGTGTTTTCTGGTTTCGATATTTAGCTGGTTGTACATTGGCAGCAATGTGTTCATGCGCATTTCAATTTCATAACCTGTCCCCCAGAACACTTCGGTAACGTGTGCACCGCGTGAAGATTGGCTTGTGTGTGTTTGTTATAGAATGTTCGTAGTCATAACGTTAGGAGTTATTGCTCCTCAGTGAAACGATTCTTAATAACTGAGACTTTGTAGAAAGTTACACATTACAAGCTTCACCATTACTACAATATGGTAGGTTAAAAATCATCTGAAATAACACGTTCCGAGATTTGTTTGTGGAAGAACTTGGATAGGTTATTGACAATGGTAATGTGACCTAACAAACATTTAATAACGCTTGTTTACAGGAAATGCTATTTTATACTCATTTAATTGTATGTTTCTTTTTATAAGTTTCTTTAGTAGCTAGTTGTAGACAAAAGAAAGAAAAGTCATGTATTTTTAACTACAGACCAATTTAATTCCCAACAGCTTCATTTAAAATATTTAAAAAAGTAGGTGTTACTATTTAAACTCAAACATTGTCCTTGCAAGTCAACAATTTGGATTTAGGAAAAGCCTCTCAACTGATGAAGCCTTTTTAAATTTTACAGATAAAATTGCTCATAATAAATTTCATGTTTCTTGTGATCTTACAAACGAATTTGATTATGCAAATTATGAATAACTACATTTTTATGGAATTTAAAATTTAGCTCGTCAGTGGTTTAAATTCCACCGTCAAGACTCAAGGCAACAAGTAGAAATAAAATCAGATTTAAATAATAGCACCTAAACACATAAATCACTAATATAATGCTATCCATTAACTCCCAGTCCAAACCCATACTTTTTGAAGATAATACTAAAATTATTTTACATCCACAAATTTACTCTTTCCAAATTTGCATGAGTGCCTTTGTTAGCTTGAACAAATGGGTTAAAGTCAGTACACTTCTTCTTTCTCATCTCCCTTTTTGCCTTTATAGCGTCGGAGTTGATTGCTCGGTCCACCTCCTCCATTCCTTCCTATCCCTTGCTAAGAATTTCATCTGCGTTAAACTTTTTCCCTTTGCCTGTCCTATTTCTCTAATAGTATCCAAGTAGCTCTTTCTAGGTCTTCCTATTGTTCTGGTACCCTCAACTCTAGTTACCAAAAACTGTTTCGTCTTTCTTTCATCTGCCATTCGAACATGTCCAAACCATTTCAGTTGCTTTTCTTCCAATTTTGTTTTAAGTGATTTAATTCCCACCTCTTATCTAATTTTGGTGTTCCTTATTCTAACCCTGCGCGTTTGCCCTATTGATTTTCTGAGACATTTCATTTCCACCGCTGTAACTTTAGATGAATATTTATTTAAGTTGGCCAGCTCTCGCTGCCATATAATAGTGTCGGTTCTATAACTAATTGATAGAATTGATTCTTGGTTTTTATATTCAATTCTTTCTTTCCAAATATTGTATTAATTGGTAATAAGCATTATTTGCCTTCTTTACCCAATGTCAGTACACACTCATTTAATTCTGGCAAAACAAACCATGAAATTTTGTATTACCAACAAACATTGTGATAATATAGGTACAGCATATGGGGACAAAACAATTGAAGTAGAAACAACCAAATTTCTTGGTCTACAAATTGATGGTAACCTAAATTGGGAAATAAATATTCATACATTATCCCTAAACTAAGTTTAGCATGCTTTGCTATGAGAACTGTCACATCACCCAGAAACTTTCCTTCTGCTCCACAGAAGAATTTACATCAACCAAAAATTCTCAGCTATTATAAGTATATGTATGTAGTAGTGGCTATGCTTTCTTGTGTAATTATGTTTGTGGTAATATTGTAGTTGACTGTAAATTACTGTCATTACTATGTACCTTATTTTGTATTACAAAAAAGTATTGTGTTTTTGTTGTGATCTGCATTTTGGTTAGGCCTATGAAGGACCTGTGTAATGTAAATAAATTCTATTCTAAGTATCATATCTATGATTTACATAATTCTTACAGACTGAGGAAGTAAATCCAAAAGCATATCCACTGGCAGATGCCACTCTTACTACCAAGATTCTGAATCTTATCCAGCAGGCCTTGAACTATAAACAACTGCGGAAAGGTGCAAATGAAGGTACATTAATGTTTTAATATGTAAACAACATTTTTGACATACCCCAAACCTGCATTAAGAAGACCCTAAGCAGTACACATTGTCAGTGGTTACTGAAATCTACATACCCTAAATATCAGTTGTTGTGCTCTGAAAATATGTTAAAGGCACTAATTATAAGAAAAAGCATGTGAAAACATTATTATCAGAGTATGCTTTCTATCACATGTTACAGTAGCCATCACCAAATTGCATGCTTCAGGGTCACAGGAAAATCGCACAACACTGCAACAGAAACATTGGAGTCCAGGCTAGTGAAAGACAGTTCAGAACTTGTAGCATAGCAGTGCTGTGCTTATGACTTAAAGCCATGTGGTGGTGGTGGCAGGGGGTGAATTACACAGGCTTGAAGCATAGTTTGGTGATGGCTACTGTACTGGTAGTTGGAATGCAGGGAGCAAAATCTAGCTTAAAAGATAAACAGTATAGTTCCACAGCAACGTTCTGGTAATAGCCATTAGAAATGACCATGAAATTCAGTATTTTACACTTCAAACATAATGAATCCTAACTAAACACACCTGAACATATTAAAATTAATCTTAAATAAATTATATTTTAAATTCAATTATGTATTTTACTGTAGAGATCACACATCATGCACACATTTTAATCTTTATTATGTATGATATTAGAGACATTATAATAATGGCAAATATGTAATTTGGAAATGATCAAATGCTATCCAAGTTCCCTGGTTGTTCTATGAACATTGTTCCTGATATCATTGTTTAAAATTGAGTTCTCCAGTAAAGAATGGGCTGTTGATATCCTGTAACAGGACAAACTACTGAAATGTTAATAAGTGACTAAATAATGCAGTGTCATGCATGTGGGATGTCTTGTATTTAATCACCCCTTTTGAGGTTCTCACAGCAGTGAATATGACAGTGTTGTCCATCTGGGTAGTAATGCCTTTAAGTCAAAATGGCATCACTACCAGAAGACCATAATTAAATAACTTAGGTTAGGATATGATTGAATTTCTATATGTAACAAAACTGTGTTGGCTCTTATATGACATTTAATTTGCAGCTACAAAAACCCTCAATCGTGGTCTGTCAGAGTTTATTGTAATGGCTGCTGATGCTGAGCCACTAGAAATCTTGCTTCATTTGCCTCTTCTCTGCGAGGATAAAAATGTACCTTACGTATTTGTACGATCAAAACAAGGTAAGAATCGTAATGTATGTGTGCAAACTTAACAATTATGAGCAGTACATAATCAGACTGAATTTATCAGTATAAAATAAAAATATATGGAAAAGAAATTGCAGATCTCTTTTTAGAATGCTGTTTATGCCACAGGAAATGGTTTTTAGAATAAAGGGATAGCAAAACTTAACCTATCCATCTTATAGATTAGTTTACCCTCTTTTCTGAAAAGACCATGACATAGGTCAGAAACACTATTGGATATTTGACAAAATTATCAAGCTGCACAAATAGTTTTGCTGACTTTGAAGGAAAGAATTCCTTTGGAAAATAAGTGGGTATATGTGAAATGATGAAATAAAATATGTTAATAGTAGGATTCATAACCATTACATATTATTGATTATAATACGTTACTCAATAGGTATAGAATTTGTATACTGCTGATGACAGTAGTGTTTGCCAAAACATGTCAGGTATTATTACATTAATAAATTTTAATAATTAGTGGTGGTGATGCATAATAGTTGTAGCTGATGATGATATTAAAAGGATAAAAAATTCTTTGCTTAGAATAACTCTGCTGATAAAAATGTTTTTTTGTCTACACAGCTCTAGGTCGGGCCTGTGGAGTGTCTCGGCAAGTTGTGGCATGTTCAGTGACTGTAAATGAGGGT